GTGCGATTGAGAGAGCCTGGCAAAGCAAGTTTTGACTCAGAAGGAAGTGAGAAAGAAGCAGATGAGAGCCAGTTGCTCGCAGGCTGGATATGAGCCCTGTGGGGGCTGTATCTGGCCCTCGGGCCACATGTTTGACAACCCTGGTCTACATGGCCTAGTCCTTGGACTGGAGGGAGAAGGGGAAGTCAGGGATGGCCCTTCCCCGGGGAAGGCAGGTCCAGGAAGGGCCAAGAGACAGGGGGAGGGAGCTGGGTGGAAGTGAAGCCCCTCCTCTAGGCCTACTGGAGACCCTGCCAGGGAAGAAGGGAACCCTGGAGGGTACTACAGATATGACCTCCACCCCTGGGACAGAGGAATTGGACACCTTCGTTTGGTCACTTGGATTATTCTAATTTGTCATAGGTAATGACAGGCAGTTATTTATCAACTAGGAAAAATAATAATAATGATCTTAATTTTTATTTGTGAAAAAGTCTTTCCTGATATTCTAGTTGAAGTGGGTTTAAACATATAATTGACCAATACTAAACACATTATCAAAAAAATTGTAAAAATACATAGATAAAAGAATTCTCACAGAAAACAAAGCAGTATCTGGGCAAAGGAGCATCATTTCCCACCAACTCCTTAGTATTCATGTATGCATGTAAATGACCACAGATTGAACTTTTATAAAAAGAGATAGCAACCCGTCTAATTAAAATTTTAAAAATTCTGATCAAAGCAAATGTGCCATCCACAGTATATTAGAGTTGTTTTTAGCTCTGTAGAGGAATGATAGAAATAGGACAAATCCTATCCGTCATACTGATAGAATTTGGGATTCAAAGAACGACTGTGAAGAAATAGAGTGCTTTCAAATGTCATTTTTATTTGGCAATAAAACTAATTTTAAACTATTTTTCTTTTTTCCCTATAGGCAGATAAAGCATGATCTCTCATGAACAAAAACATGTATGACTCAAGCCAAGTATTTTAGATAATTTATATTGCATTTATTTATTTTTGTTGTTGTTCAGTCATACAGTCGAGTCTGACTCTTCACAACCCCATGGACCACACCACGCCAGGCCCTCCTGTCTTCCATCATCCTCTGGAGTTTTCTTTCCTATGCAGTAATGTTCTTTGCAGCATCGGACTTTTCTTTCACCATCAGACACATCCACAGCTGAGCATCCTTTCAGCTTTGGCCCAGCCACTTCATTCTTTCCGGAGTTACTTGTACTTGCCCTCTGCTCTTCCCCAGTAGCATATTGGACACCTTTCGACCTGAGGGGCTCATCTTCCGGCGTCATATCTTTTAGCCTTTTGTTATTGTCCATGGGGTTTTCTTGGCAAAGATACTGGAGTGGGGTGTCATTTTCTTCTCTGGGTGGCCCTCCACGGCATAGCCTGCAGCCTCATCGAACCACACAAGCCCCCTCGTCATGTCAAGGCAGTGATCCATGAGAGGTTTATTTTACATTATTTTAATTTGCCTATATAACATTACAGTATCTCAAAGCTAGAGCATGGTAATGTACTCTACGTGGATCTGTCCTTTAAGTTAACTCAGAAACTCCAGTGGTACAGAACACCAAAGCTTGGTTCTGTTGATGGCTAGGCAGAGCATGCATATTACACCCATTCTGCAATTACTCCACTGGTTACTGACCAGTTACTGAGTTTCATTCAAAGTAACAGCCACTACCTACAAAGCCCTTAATAGCCTTGGATCCACATACCTACAGAACCACCTATCTTGCTGTGCTTCACCACAAGAACTTTGCTCATCTTACCCAAAGCCTTTTGAAGGTGCCACCCTGCCAACAGGTAAAATTGGCAGCTACTAGTCCACATGCATTCTCTGTTGTGGCTCCCATCTTGTGGAACATCTTCCCTGAGGAGGTCAGGAAGGCTCCTAAACTTCTATAATTCCACAGCAGGTGTAAAAGCAGAAATGTTCAGGAGGACATTTTCATAAAAGGTGGTACAATTGTAGTATGATGGAACAGATCAGGAAAACAGTTTTTGTAAAGGAATAGGATGGCAATCTATTGCAATGTTTATTGCATGATGTTTCTTTTACTGCATTGTCTTCTGCATTTTTGTTTATGGTATATTATTACTTCAACAAGCAGATATCTGGATTTACTTTCCCTGTTGCATGAGAAAAATGTTTCTTTTACTGCTAGTTGGGGTGATGCCAAAATGCTTTCTAAACATTTCTGTGATGCCTTCACACACAAAATGTTGTCTGTAGTAGGGAATAACTTCCTCTAGAAAAACTGTTAAGTATTCATATAACTACCACATATGCAACAAGGCCTATGTCCTGTACATCCTCTCCAACACCACTAGAACAATAAAGCTTATATTAATAATGCAAGATACCATCTACGTGATTTTTAAAGACAGACTCCATGAACTTCCATGAATTTTGATGCAGTTCATGGCAGTTTGTGAAAAGCAAGAAACAGGGTTAAATGGCTCTGAGCCATTTAAACCCCTGCTTTCTGCTCATAATGAAAACCAGATGTTTGGTTTAAATGGCTGCTTCCCCCCAAAAGCCACAGCTGTGTGCCCCTTGAGTTGCCCTGCACTGCACATACTTGTTAGAAATGAATTGAATAAAGACTTCTGTCAAAACTCTTTAAAGTATTCTAGAATTGTATTGCTGGAAATCAATCAATGGATTAAAGGCTTATTATAAAGTTGAGACAGGGGAATTGTGAAAATGGGGAAGTCAGACAAATAGCAGCAGTCAGCTTGCACAAACATCTCCACTCACCTTGCAAAACGCTACATTTAGCAAAAAGCAGAAGTGGCATGCGGCAGAACTATTTCACATAGATTATCTTTTTAACTCTAAAACTTATACTAAGCTTGCCTGCTTGCTGTGTATTGAAATTAAGAGTGTATTGCTAGACAACTGTCATAAGAACATAAGAACATAAGAGATGCCAATGTTGGATCGGGCCGGGGGCCCATCCAGCCCAGCATTCTGTATCGCACGGTGGCCGGAAGTATGCTGACTGGCCTAAAATGAGGAACCTGGCATTTTTGACTCTGATAAACAAGTCTGTTGCAGAGATGATGGCCCAAGACAGGCCTGATGAAATGGGACATCTTGTGGTCTGAAAGTCCCCATTTACGAGAAGATCGTCCCGATTTATGAGAAGACCTTTCCCAGATTTACGAGAAGACCTGTCTCAAGATACTTGCGGTGGGCTGTTGTGGGTTATGAAGAAAGATTAGGAAAGAGTAGAGGAGGTTAATACCATGTTTGGCATAAAGGAATTATGCCCTTTTTGGGAAAGTAGTGGGCTTGTCTAATAAAAAGCAGAAGTGATTAGGCGACCGGTGATTGGAAGCTGTAACTCTTGACTCTCAGTTCTGGGAGGCGGAGAGGGTGTTTCTTATTTTTCTTACCACGCCGGGACAGGATAAATATCTGCTACAGAACCCCATTCGGTGTGTTCTCTCAGTGCCTACTGGGCGGTGAGGGGCACCTACTGCTTGCAAGCTGTATCCAAATAAAACTGCTTGACTGAAGGAGACTGTCTTGAGAAGTTATTAATGGTAAGCGCAAAGTGCGCTGACGACATACTAGTGAGACAGCTTGTGAAATTAGTAATCTTGCATCAAGAAAGCATTCAGAGTGGTGGTGGGTTATCTCAAACCACCATGTTTAGAAGTTCAATATATGTCATTACTTTTCCAATACCTGATGTACCACAGCACATGTCAAAACAATGTCTAGATTCATTACTGGAATCTCAAGCATTATAGACCTGAACACAATAGGAGTGTACACTTACATTAGGTGTAAATTCAGTGGCTCATTCTTTTGTGCAAATGTTTTGGAAGGAATACAGTTACTATTAAGACTGGAACAACACTGATAGAAAATAAAAGGATGTGGAACCACTAGAGGCAGAAGAACAAAAGCCGCCCTGAGCCTGCTTTTGTGGGGAGGGCGGGGCACAAATTAAATAAATAAAAAAGAATAATGTGCCCTGAATACTCACTAGTGTCATGGGGTACTGCAGTTTTAAGTTCTTGCCGTGTGCCAATTTCATGTATGCCATTCACCATGTGGAACCTGAGAACAAAACTAGTTTAAGAATACAAAATCCTATGTGCACCCACATGGCAGTAAGCCCCACTGAATTTACTGGGATTTAGGACCAGCGTATTTATTTAAACATTTGGAATAATAAAACAAAGCAAGTCAGTAAAAGGTATTATTTTAAGTACCATCCTTGCAGTAGCATGTACTACTGTGAATCAGCTTTTGTGTGGCATACAAACATTATTGTGTCGCTAACAAGAGCTCAATTCTGCCAACTCATACATATGTGCAGGGTCCTATACTGAACTGCGCTCCAGTGACGTGGGGGGGGGGCTCCTTCAGAACCTCAAAAACTAACAAGCTTTTGTTCTAGCATAAACTTTCGTGTTCTAGAGGGCCACCTGGTCAGATGTTTATGCTAGAATAAAAAAGCCTTTTAGTCTTGAATATGGTGCAAGATCCCTGCTTATTTTTGCTGCAAGACACTAATAGGGCCATGCCTCTGGAATTATTACCATGACCAGAAGGCCATATTATATTTCTATGAGGACTCCCTGGGCAACAGTGCCCAGCAGGAAGGAAAGAGCCACTCTTCAGTTTACATCGCCGTTGCACACCAAAAGCCCTCAGCAATAATTTCCCAACGGGGTTTTCCCCAAGGCGGCCTCCTCGTGAAGAAGGCGCTCGAGAACTTCGTCCCACCTCAAAGCGCTCCACTCACCACCAAGGGGGAGGAGGCCGAGGGGGTGGCTCCCTCCGCCCTGGGGACGAAGCCCATTCTCTCCTCCCCTCGCCTTGACGAACAAATGGGATATTCACGAGGAGTCGCCCGAGGAACTCCTCCAGGGACAGCGTCGCCTCTACGCGGCTTTATAAAAGTGGTCCCTCACCAACTCCCGCGCCGCCGTCGCCCAGGAGCTGCCTCTGCTCGGACCCGGACAAAATAATGAGAACAGCCACCTCGTGCTCCTTCGTGGCCCTGGGACTTTTGCTGGTCGCCGCAGCTCAGACCTCCAAGAAGCGGCAGCCGCAAAGGCCGAGGTAACTCTCCTTGAGCTAGTCAGCCCCTGTTGCAGTGTGGGCGGTAGAACAAGAGCCCGCGAACGGCAGATGCTCTGCGGACACCGAGCTGCTTTACTGCCCTTCCCTGGCCACGGACTGCCCAAGCAGGACAGCGCGGCGTCCCAGCTCTCGCTGCCCCCACAGGGCATCGCACCAGTAGGCACTCCCAGCAAAGTGCTTAGCTCCCGCGTGGTGCTGAGGGGCGACCCACAGTTTGCTCCCGCGAGACTCTGCCGGCTTGTTGAGGTGGACAGAGAGGGAGAGTCCGCTGCCGCGTTGCTCAGTCCCGCGCGACGGGGAGTGGAAAAGCATTTCTCTGCCACAGAGAGTCGGTGGAGTGGGACCACGTCCTCTGCCAATAAAAGGGGTTGCAGTTTGAGGACCAGCGCGAAGCACGGGTTGGGTGCTGCTGGGAAGGTTTGAAGTAACAAGAATTGTCTGAGCATGTGCAGATGCCTAAATATCGGGGTTAGGGCGCAGAGAGTTTCACGGTCAAACGGTGTTGAGCTCCTGTGTAGCCTTATAAGGGTTTCCAGACCATGCTGTCCCAGGCAGCTATTTGTTCGCCATAGGTCTGCTGTAAACGCTGAGATGTTTGAAAAAGAAGCGTATGCCTGTAGCACGCAGTGGATGCATAGCAGACAGGACAGCTGTGATTAGCCACTCAGCACGTGTTAACATGCACAAGAAGAGGGCTCAGCGCCCCCCCCCCCGCCCGCTGTCTATTTCAAACGACTCCCCCCATTTTACAGATGCAGCCTACGACATCTCTTTATCATGAAGGAGAACGGGGGGGTGGGGGAGCTTTTAATCCTTTCGTCTGACTTTTTCTCCTTGGAAAAAGCCGGCACCTAACTGCTTTCATTGGGGAGGGGGGGCGGACGGGACCATATGGGTTCCCACAACACAAAGCAAGTCAGAGTTGTTTTTTGCCGTGAGAAAACTGCAGGAGGGAAGGGTTAAGGTTCCTTCAGTCTTTCATTCTATAGTGTTCTCTTCTCCTGACCAAGCAACCCCGGAGGCTGCATTTGTAGAAGAAAAAAGTTTTAAAACTCAACGCGGGATGTGTAATTGAGTTGACAGTTTCAAACAGGATTCTCTCATTGACTGAATCCAAACCTTGCAAAGAGCGTGCAACTTGAGCTGAGCCTGTGCTGGACCCCTACCCATTGGCAGTGTTGATTAAATAATACGACTCCAGGCCAGTGGTTTGCATGAGCCACCATCCCATGTCAGTAACAGACTTTATTGCAGTATGCTGTACTTATGCGGGGAGGGGAGAGGTTTCTCCCATACTGCAATAAAGACTTGTACTGACATGGCATAAAGTTGAGTACATAGGAAGGAACATTTCATACAGCTAGTTCAGTTCTTCAGTAATAAAACCAAGTTAATTTATTACGAAAGCATAGAACTAATTATAGAAAATATTCCCCTGCAGTCTCAACTTTAATGATCTAAAAGGGATTATCTGACTTACTCTGTATTGCTTTTATGGGGGGGGTTTTGCTCTGTACACAACCACTGAAGCGGTGATGTACCACTGCTCCTAATATTCTGCTAAATTCTGCTGCTCAAGTTGATGCAACAGTTTATCTACTGAGGATTGAATCCACAGAGCCTTTTTCAGGAAATGCACAGTGCCAAGCACATGATGAGGGATGCCAGAATGTTCTCCTGTACCTACTTTTTGTAGATCTTTCTTCCATGGTTCTTCTTTAAACAATGGCCTGGGAAGTCAGGAACACTCAAGTTCAGAAGTGCTGGGGAACATCAGAGTTAAGTTTATAAAAGTGAACACAGGGTGGCAATGAATACCTCTGTAGTTTAGTGACACATCTGGAAGACAGGATATGGAGATTTTGAGATTATAGCATTATTCAAAGGCTTTGGTATTGTCCACGTGGAGACAACCTGCTGCGTCTACCAACGTACTGTAGCGGCTATAGGACTTCCACTTGGCAAGTTTCCCTGACCCATTAACCCAGAGGTGGCCATCTCTGCCCACGCTACAAGAGTTTTTTCACTTTAAAAAATCAGCAGTTGAATATTGTTGTAATGATTGTTATAATGATAAATGGATATTTATTTCTCAGTGTGCCCAGTTCTGTGGATACTTAAATCTAGAGACTGGAGCCATGAACAGACAAGACATCTTTCTACAAACTTGAGGAAAGCCCCATGTTTGCAGAAAAATCTTTAAAATAATAAGACTGACAAACTTTATTGTAGCATAAGCTTTCAAAAAACACAGCTCTCTTCGTCAGATGTATGGAGGGTAACTCCTCTGCATCTAAAAAAAATAAAGGGGTTAAAAGAAACACAGAATTATAGAAGCAGCACCTGCAGCTTTAATAAATGAATGCCCTCAAGTAGCCAATGCTAGGCAGCCCCATCAGTGTTGCCAGCCTTGGTTTCTGTCAGGGAGAAGGGGCATGGTGCTCTGCAGGGCTGTTTTGGCCTTTGAGGGAAGACTCTTTGGGGCCAGTCTTGGTTAGCAACCATCAAGTCAGTTGCTACCACATCGCTTGCGTGACTCACCCAGGCCTAGTTGCTGGTTACTGTTCAACAGGGGCCAACCCATGAAAGCCTAGGGTTGCCAAGTCCTTACCGTCTGTATAGCGGGGGAGTCCAGCGCTGCTCTGGGAGGCTGCAGTTACGTCACCCGGAAGTGACACAACCACGTCGGACACGCTGGGGCCACAATCATCCCAGGGGAAACCATAGAGTTTTCCCTCGGATGACCGCGGCCCTGCCCCCAACGCGGCCGACGCGACTGCGTCACTTCCGGGTGACGTGCTGACGCTGGGCACGTCACATGCTTTGGGGGTGGGGTTCCCCCCGGGGCCCGATCCGCCGGCAGTGGGTAACGGGCCTCTCGGGCGGGGGTTTCCCCACCCCCGGGGGGACTTGGCAAGCCTATGAAAGCCTGTTGTGTTGTAGTGGTTAGAATTCTTGACCAAGATATGAGAGACTCAGGTTCAAATCCTTATTCTGCCATGGATGACTTTGAGCCATCCTACCTCTCAACCTACCTCACAGGGCCATAGGATAAAATGGAGGAGAGGAGAAGCTGCTTTGAGTCCTCATTGTGGAGAAAGGTAGGGCATAAATGAAGTAAATAACTATTAAATATAATAAATGAATTAAGTGAGCAGTGACTCATGAAAATTCATACCCTACCACAAATTTTGTTAGTCTTTAAGGTGCTACTGGACTCTAAGTCTTTTCTACTGCTACAGACAGACTAACATGACTACCCATCTTGATCCATCTTAATAAATATAGTTGAAGATAAGGGGGCAGATAAAAAGTTGTTTGGTGAGTGGCTGAGTGTCAGAACCCACGGCTTACAACGAAGTACACGCATTCAGGAACGGTTATACTTTTATTGCAAAGCTATAGATGCAGTAACACAGGCACTGTTAAGAATGGCGGCAACCCATTGAACATAATAGGATATAGGGCATTCGTATGCACCCTCCCCCCCATGGCATGGGCCAGTTAGCTACCCTCCCGCGCGCGGGACCAACTAGGAAACGGTTAGGTGGCGAAAGCTGGGAAGCAGTAGTCTCTCACGGTACATAGGAGACTTCCAGACAATACATCCGCCTCCTGCACATCTGTAGCTATAAGCATTTCAGCACAGGCAGAACAGCAGAGGTAGGAATGCAATAGCAATTACCAAGACACAGAATGAACTCCCCAACCCCCATGGCAGCATAGCTGACACTGAGAAGGAGACAGTGAGGTAAGGAAAGGTGAGGATACGGGGTTGTGCAGTCTTAAAGCTACACCCTTTTAAGGCCACTAAATGGCAAGATGCATAGAAGGATGTAATCAGTGTTCCCTTCTAAGCTGAGAAGGAAGAGGGGGGAGTGTCATGAAAAGGACCAGTTTAAAACTATCCATTCAAAAAAGTAATCATGCCACTCATAATGGATAAGAGCCATTGGTACTTTTCAATATTTTTATCAAAGATCTGGATGAAGGGGTAGAAGGTCTACATTTAATTTGCTGATGATACCAAATTGGGAGGAGTAGCAAACACCCAAGAAAATTCAACAAGACCTAAATACTCTGGAGAAGTGGTTAGTTGCAAACAGGATGCAAGTCAGCAAAGATAAATGCACAGTATTACATCTGGGCCACAAAAATGTCAAGCACAAATACTGGATGGGGGATACGTTTCTAGGGAGTAGTGTATGTGAAAGAGATCTTGGGGTATGAGTGGACTGTAAACTAAATATGAGCAGTCAGTGTGATGTGATTGCAAAAAAAGCAAATTCAGTCTTGGGTTGTATTAAAAGGACCATAGCATCGAAATCGCAGGAGGTCATAGCTCCTCTGTATACTGCCTTGGTCAGGCCGCACCTTGAGCACTGTGTGCAGTTCTGGAGGCCTCACTTTAAAAAGGATGTGGGCAAAATGGAGAGGGTGCAGAAGAGAGCGATGAGGATGATCAGGGGTCTGGAGACTGAGCCCTACGAGGAAAGGCTAAGGGCCTTGGGAGTGTTTGGTTTGGAGAAGAGGAGATTGAGGGGGGACATGATTGCTCTCTTTAAATATTTGAAAGGCTGTAATTTGGAGGAGGGCAAGGAGCTGTTCCACTTGGCAGCAGAGGACAGGACCCAAAGCAACGGGTTTAAATTACATGCAGAAAGGTATCAGCTGGATATTAGGAAAAACTTTTTCACAGTCAGAGTGGTTCAGAGGTGGTAAGCCTAAGGAGCTGCCTAGGGAGGTGGTTAGCTCCCCTTCACTGACAGCTTTCAAGAAGAGGCTGGATGAATATTTGTCAGAGATGCTTTAGGCTGGTCCTGCATTGGGCAGGGGCTTGGACTAGATGGTCTGTATGGCCCCTTCCAACTCTATGATTCTATGATTCAACTGCTGATAGCTAAGTAAAATAGGTCTAGTCAGGATAAGTCATGATATGCAACTCTAACTAGAAAATTATAGGTATAGAAGAACTAATTAACATCTGTCAAGGGTGGAATGAGATATTAACACAGAGTAAGAAATGTCAGAGTCCCTGTTAAGACCTGGCAGAGAAAGTGCGTTAAATGTCTTGATGAATGTTAATTAAGCAATTTCCCTTTGTATTCTTCCTTTGAAGTTCTTTTTAGAAGAATAGTGACTTTAAGATCAGAAGCAGAATGCCCTCAGAGAGTAAAAGGTTGACTATATGAGTCTGAAATCAGCATGCTGTGTATCTTTTAACATTAGTCAATAATTTTCCATATCTCTGTCATCTCCTGTTCTGACTAAGATGGGGATGAATCACTGATGAGTGTTGTTCAGTGGTCATGCCATGGCTACTCCACCCACCTATGTGGAACTTGGTTTCTCCCCCCCCCCTTTTCTGCCTCAGAGAGATCTCTTTTAGTCTCTTTTAGTCACCATGTGTTCTTCTAGGTATCAAAGAATATTTATTTTACTTCATTTATAAACCACCTACTGCAAAGATTTCTTAGATAATACATGTATGTAATGCACTTTGAACTAGATTTGGCACAGTAGTAAATTTTCTGCAAACACTAGTATCTTCTTGGCCTGTGCTTCCAAGCAACTGCAGAACATATTCCGTAAGCAGTTTTTGGTAACGTGGAACTTACGACCATTCTTGAAAGTTTGTCTCTGAAATGTGGCTCCCCAGCTTCCCCAAAAGACCCATTTGTACCCATTAGAAATATATTTACTTGTGGGATAGGCCTGGCTGATCAATTTTGAATTTATGCATTACATATGTCAGTTATTTTAAGGTGTCTATATTGTATTACATTTTAAATAACTACAGAGAATTTAATTGCTTTTCTCAGATGCCTTGTACATTTTATGAGTGGCATTTCAGATGACAGCTATTCTCTGCAGCCTTTATAGTACTATTTCTGAAGTAAGTAAAGTCCCCCTTTTCCCCCTCCAGGTCTTTTAAATGTGGTGGTGCTCTAACTGGATTATCAGGGTTTATTGGCAGTGAAGGATACCCAGGAGTCTACCCTCCAAACAGCAAATGTACTTGGAAAATCACAGTAAGAACTTCTGATGTAAAAAAATATGCTGAAAAGAATGGCATGCAGTGTTGCTCTATTACTGGAACTTTGTATTGGTCGAAGGATGCCTGTGATGATATATCGGTAGTATTACAGTAATTCATCATGATGGACTACTTTAAGATTGTATTAAATGCAGTGATGAAAAGTACAGCATCCAGTCTTACTGAGATAAATCAGTAGTGAAAATTCCATAACTTCAGTTGTGGAAGGGTTCTTTAACAGTGAACTTTTATGTCTAATGAGAGCTTGTCTGTTGACTCCAAGAAAGTCGGGCCTCTTGCTGTAAATCAGTCTATTTTTGGAGTGTAGGCTTTAATGCTAGAGTGTGTGTGGACTGCAAGGATAAGGAACACTGAATGAGTTCATCCTGTCTCCTCCCATAAAAGAGCCCAATTAAGACATGCCCATAGTTTATACAAGGGCACTAGGCACCTTTTTATTACGCATTTGTAACTGAAGGCAGTAAGCACTTTAGAAAGGAACATGTAGGCTGCTTCACATGTTATGAGTAAGATAATGTGGGATAGCACATTTGGGGGTATTATATGGAGGGGGGGCATGCATGTTTTCCATTGTGTATACACATTAAACTAGATATATGGGCTTCTTCCTTTTAAGACATGTTTTTAATTGAAAAATTTCAAGTAAACAATACAATCTACCACATATAACATCAGCACATGATGCCAGGTTCCAAGCCTCCCTCTCCTCTCCACCCACCCACACAGTCAAAATGTCCAGTGTAATCATTTTCTGTCCATAAACACAATGTAGATGTATACTGAGCTAAATCAGATCTAATAGGCTTCTCCAAATAAATTGTTAACAAAAGGCACACTTCCAAAAAATTGTTCTTCTTGTTAAGCTGTCTAGCCATTTTTAAATGTCAGTTTGTGCATGATAAGAACTTCCCACACTTTTAAGAGCTACTGCTTCCTTGTGGCTGTCCTGAAATTTTTCCGTAGTTGAGCTGTGGAAGTTTTGGCTGCAACAAATGAAACAGCTACTCATTCTGTGCTTATAGGTTGGTTTGATTATCAGAGGATCAGAATGATAAGGCAGGACGGAGATCAGTGTGACAGTTCATTTTTTTATTACACATTCTTCAGAAACAATGGGCGCAATCACACACACAAGTAGCCACACCATAGCCGTGAATGCCGGGCGGATTTAAAGGGCGCAATCAGGCACAAACATCTGGGAAGTGCCCCGCACCCGTTGGCAACCCATTTTGCTCTGCCGCAGAAGCGGAGTAAAAAGACACCAGGGGAAGTCTGGTAGCAAACGGGTTGCTATGGGCCACGGACGGACTTTCCTCTGTCTGATCGCTCCACCGCGCTCTCATGGCGTTGAGATGGTCTGAACAGGCCATCCTGACTCCGTGCAGTTGTTCCTTCCCCCCCACTTCTCAGTATGCGCATCATTGCACACTCCATAGGGAGCCCTCAGTGCTGAGATAAAATTCATCGATTCCCCGTTTAAGCACATTGGGAACAAATGACAAAAGAAAAAATGACTCACCCGTGGTTGCGTCTGATCATGCAGTGGCGGGCTGCCCCCACAGCATCAAAGGACTGTGTGATCATGCAACTGCAGGTCAGATTCCTCTAGAGGAAATAGCCTCGCTTCCCCCCTGCCTTATCTCGCACATGTGTCCACCACCATCGAATTGTATCATTTATGTAATTCATTTGTACCTCACCCTTCTCCCCAGTGGGGATGCAAAGGAGCTTACGTCATTCTCCTCTCCCCCATTTTATCCTCACAACAGACCTGTGAGGTAGGTTAGGCTGAGAGACTGTGACCGGCCTCAGGGGATTTGAATGAGTATCCCAGATATGAATCTAACGCTGTTAACTACTTCACCACACTGGCTCTCACACTTACACTGTGTGGTACAAAGTCCAAAGTTGCCCACATCTTTCCATGAGCCATCTGTCTTAGTTGCCCCCTCTATGTCTTTGGATCCCAGCAACAGTTTAAGTTTTCCATATTGGCCTCAGAGGAATACAAACACTGAAATGTTCTTGGTCTCAGTTTGCAAAACCCATGCAAGGCTGTCAATAACCATTTTGCAAGAACTGAGAACTGAGGCTGCCAGTGTTAGGATGTTTTGCAGGTCATTAATTCCTAGGGTTGCCCTAAATCGGAAGCAACTTTATAGCACGCACATGCACGCGCACACACACACACATACATTTGCAGAAATCTTCTGAGATTGATTTGCTAATTAAGCCCAGTGTAAAGCAGTATCTCTTCAAGAGGTTCAGTCGTTCATTCCTTTCAGTGTAGAAGTCAGTCATTCTGTTTCTCTAACTATAGAAGCTGGTCATTCTATAAAATTCAGTGCTTTATATTACAGCCTTGACACAATCCAAGAGCCTGTGGTGCTACCACAGCTGTTACCGATTGTCTCTTGTATAGCAAAACAGAAAGCGTCGCATGCCAGTGGTTTTAACATAATCTCCTTTTTGGCAGTCCTCAGTGATTTAAGTTGAGTAATCTAAGAACCCTCAGTACATACAAGTGTACAAGAATATGATATAAAAATAGTACTCAGAACTGTCACAGACTTTAACTGGATAACTTAATATGTTCAGTAGCTGAATTCCATTAAAAGAGTTGTGAAAGAAGATTTTGGGGGGGGAATCCCGTTGCATGAACATCTTCATTCTTTTTTTTATCTGTGTTGTATTTAATCTGTTGCTTGAAAGCTGCCTTGAAGATTAGTTGATCAAAAGGTGGAGTATGAATTGCTACAGTAAAATAAACAAAATTGTGTTGGCTCTTGCTTAACTGAGTTAGGGGGATCTTTCTCCCTCACCGGTAGACTGATAACGGTGGTTGTGTTATCATCTGGGAGGACACGGAGCATTGTGTGGGAGAGGTTGGAAGATGAGTGAGGAGGAGTGCTCCCAGTCTTCCTAGCATTCTCTTGTTTTCAACCATATAAGACCATCAAATTGCTTCAAAACTACCTATGTCAGTGAGGTCAGTGCCCAGCCTTTTTCTCTAGTCATAATGAAGTCACAATGAATGTAACCTCACAATGCTCCATGTTCTCCTCAGTGAGGACATTTATTGTATTTTTTTATTTAACACATTTTATGCCATCTTTCCACCCGATCAGGGTCCCACATTAAAAAAAACATTTTAAATTATAAAATAATTCAAACCCCCCCCCCCCACAAACAATACCAGAACCAGGGAGGCGGTTCAATAATGGTTATTGGGGGGTATGCCAAACGAAACCAAAAAGTCTTCATCTACTGGCAGAAGCTATAGATTGAAGCCAATCTGGTTGAGTACAGTGGAGAATACACTTGCCGAGAAGCCAGTCTGGTTGAGTACAGTGGGACTGATGAAACCTGTACAAAACATATCTTCAAACTTCTTGTATCTATGGGACCAATCCTAAGCCAGTCTCACTCAGAAGTCCTATTTTGTTCAATGGAGCGTACTCCCAGGGAGGGGAGGGTTCTAGTTAGGCAATGGTCCCTCTAAGCTGTGGAGTCTTGGGAGCAAAAATTCTACTTTGTAAGCTACTGGCATTAAAGTTGTGAGTGAGCAATTTGGCTACTGCATACATTAGTTTGCTCTGGAGCCATCCTTCCTAAGACAAAAATGTGTGAGCTGGAGGCTAAAAAACTGTGAGCTAACTCACACTAAATCAGCTTAGAGGGAATAGTGGTTCTAGGTGGTCTTTATGACAGTCATATCTAAGACTATAGTAAAACACAAATGCCACAGAGGATTGTAAACCTTAGCTGCAGCTTTCCCCAGTGAACAAAGCATTGGGAGGATCTCCTGAAATTACAGGACAGACACCACTAAATAATTAAATTCAGCAACAAAGCTTCTCAAAGATAATAAATGGAATATATTATAATTTAATTAATCATAACTACTACATTTTGATTAGTTATAATTAACACAGTTGTTAATTACAGGAATATGGTTTATATTCACAGGAATATGGTTTATATTCACAGTATTATTATATAACCATGGTGCTCAATGTTGATCTAGATGCAAGCTGAACACCTGCTGGATTGTGACGTAATAACGGAATGCTTCTTTGCTGTTATCAAGTTTTCAACATTTATATCCTGCCCTTCGACTCGATAGGCTCCCAAAGTAATAATTAGTACCAATTTTTTTTTAAATCACCATGAACTGTTAGCATACTATTATTAGTAAAAGGTAAAGGTTCCCTTGCTCGAAAACCAGCCGAATCCGACTCTAGGGTTGCGGTGCTCATTTCCGTTACAAAGCTGAAGAGCCAGCGCTGTCCGAAGACGTTTCCGTGATCATGTGGCCAGCATGACTAAACACCAAGGCACACAGAACGCTGTTCCCTTCCCACTGAAGTGGTACCTATTTATCTACTTGCAATTTCTTGCTTTCGAACTGCTAGGTTGGCAGGAGCTGGAACTAGAGACGGGAGCTCACTCTGTCATGCGGCACCCGGGTCTCGAACTCCTGAACTACCGACCTTCCACAGCCTGCAGTTCAGCGTTTTAACCATTTGAACCACCGCAGCTCCAATACTATTATTAGCATACTATTATTGTAAGAATAAACCTATTGTATAGACTTTTGTTATTTAAAGTAATGTTATTAGCTTGGCATTGACAAGTCTTCACTGGCTCTAGGAGCTGGCCCAAAAAATTAAGGGCCAGACTCATTTTTAAACCTTCAGGGTTTTGTACTCTAATGATCAGATTTTCAGATTATTGCTACCACAAAGCCTAATTCTGAACACTTCACAGTTTCTTGTCGTTTTAGTCATGCTATGACAAAATGTGTTGTAGTATATAAGTAAGTCTTCTACAAATAAATAATAGTGGTATAGTATTGCTGTGGATTGCTGTTCCGTTACAAGTTTATAAATAAATAAATAAATAAATAAAGGTGTGTGTCCTGACAGCCCAGGCTAACCTGATCTTGTTGGATCTCGGAAGCTAAGCAGGGTT